ATACATACATTCTAATTCGATTCAACTATATGCAAAACAAATTATATAATTGCAGCGAAATAGGCCAGCGAATTATACAATTTAGGCTAGCGAATTATACAATTATATAATTATATATGTATAACAAATTATACAGTTTTATGTTTGCTATGGAGGGCAATTATACAAAGTTTGTTATAGCATACCAATATGAATTTTTTGTTTGCTATATGTGAAAGTTGCCCATTTAAAGCATCGTCGTTCATTTGATCTTCAAATCATCTTAATACGAAGAAAAAATAAAATTGTACACGACTAACTATGGTAGTAGTATGGTTGACTTAATATAATTTCTCAGAAATTATCAAATAATGTACGTTTTTCAATTGGCTTATGGTTTTGTTAAACTGTAACTTATGTTGGAAATTATAGACATGGCAGGGGTCAAGCCAAACACCCACGCCTAATAGCTTTATGCTGTGATGGTGATGGCTTAAATTAAAAATAAAAAATTATAGTGGGCAAGCGCTCGAATTCGAACATACTTAATTTTCATATTGCATGCATTAGAATCTCTCTAGAATAATATTGTTCATAAAATATTGTTATCTTATAGAGGTATTATTTAATTGATATAAAATATATATAAATTTAATGAGTGTCTTTAAAATTTGATAAAGGTTAATTTTGATTACATCAAAATTATTGTGTTTTACTAGTTTTTGTATCATATTTTTATTGAATTAATATAATATACTCATTATAAATAAAGTATATAAATAAAGTATATAGTATGATGTATGATTCATTGTAATGTTTTTCTCGTATCAAATGACTCGTTGTAATATTCATTGTTTAGTCATTGTAAATTAATAAATCATTGTAATATTCATTATCTCTTAATAATTATATATTATTCGATGTATTTTTACTAAAAATATTTAGCATATTTTTTTTACTATAAAAACATTCAGTGTATGACGGTGACAGAATAAACAGTGTAGATAATGAAATTTAAGATGATACAATACATTTTAGTTCTAGTATTTTTTTTTTAGAAAAAAAAAGATCTCTCGGAAATCTATCATCTTATCTTATCGATAATTTCTTTCATTGGCCCACTGGAACCAGAAAGAGAAAATATGACTCAAACTTGACCTCACATAAAAAGTAAACACTTGATCATGATTAAAAAAAACTATCTTACTTGTGCAAATTTGATTCTATAGTCATCTTCTTTGTTAAAAAATATTACATGTAAGTTCACCCTTTTTGCCAAACATTTCACGTGAATTACACCCAACCTCAAGTACGCTAAAACTTACATCTACAATCCTCAATAATTGAAAATGAGTATTATAACCGTCTGTATTTTTTTTCAATTTTCAAGTTAAGTACCGCTATATTATAACCTTGATAGACCTTGGTAGCATTAAAATTTTAAAAATTGGCTTGAAAAGTTGAAAGTTATAAATATGGATTGAAAAAAATTTAGGAAAAAATGAGTATATTAAAAAAATAATTGAGAAGTTGAAAAGTCAATAGGTTTTATTTAATAGTGATAAAAGAGAGTGGAGTGTGACTTGACTGAGAACTGCACGAAAGAAGTCAAGTCAGTCACCCAATTCAAGGATGTGATTGTACTTATAGTTTACTAAGCATTTGGAGTACCTATAATATATATTATTGTAGTCTGAAAATCACCTATTTTGTATTTAAAATATATAGATCACATAATTAATGTTCTGTTCTTGCAGAAGAAATGTTTTGCCATCTAATGCCAGGCATGTTGAATATAATTTTGTATTTTATATAGAGATTGCAGTTTATATATTTTACGTGTAAATATATAAAATTAAGTAAGTATATACAAATTTTATATTTATACATTTAAATTTTTTAATACTCTTATGTATTTCGCTTGCAAATATATAAATAAAATAATTTATATTAAATTCTTCATAAATCATGTATAAATAGCTAGGTTAAAAGGAGAAGCAATATTTATGTTCAGCTTAAAGTACCCTATCATCACCAATATCAAACTTTTAATTATTCAATCGACAACTTGTTTAACCAAGCCCCAAATATTTGTCTTTGCCTTTTACCTACATGAAGACTTTTTTTTTAACAAACACCCTGTGCTAGACCCCAAACGTCTTCCACCTGATTCATTTACATGCTCAAACAATGATATTGATTACTTTATTTTGATTTTTAACTTAAAAGTCACTAAACTATAAAATATTTTTATATAAAGTCTTCAACCAATTTAATTAATTTTTTCAATAAAAATTGTTGACATAAAATTTTATTTTGAATTGAAAATTTTAAAAAAGAAAAATTGTTAACATGAAAATTCTATTCTAAACTAAAATTTTAAAATTAAAAAAAACATCATTTAAATCATTGAAAAAAATAATTAAACAAGTTAAGTGACTTTCTAATTAAATTCTCTATAGTCGAGTGACTTTCTTTGAAAAAAAGTTTATAGTTGAATGACTTTTAAATTAAAAATCAAAGTTGAATAACTTTCTTTGTAAAGAGTTAATAATTGAATGACTTTTTGTACAAAACATTCATAGTTAAGTGATCATCTAAAATATTATCTCTTCAAACAATCTATCTTTACTTCAAAGGCATGCATTGATTTTTGAGTTTTTGAAACTTATAAAGGTTTCTCAACTTGCACTACAAAAAAAGGTAGATATCGAATAAGTTTTGGAGAAAAGTGATTACACATGACATGACCAAGTTTCAAATACTCAAAACATGACGTTAGATAGAAACTTGTGAAAGACACTGGTTACGATATTAGGATAGCAGCTAGTAGTGTGTTGTCTCGATTATCCTTCCACACTAGTAGTCGTAGTAATACTATCAGATGGTTTCAACTACTTTTACTTCAAATGTCGTATTTTCGTTTTTGTTATAGTTACTATTCAAGATGTTTTGTCATGCTTTCAATAGTATTTTGACATCGCCTTTTCCTTTGCATTATTTCCTTTTCTGAACCAATTTTACATGTATTTCATCTATTTGAGTGTTTATCGAAAAAAACATTTCTACCTTCAGGGTAAGGAACAAGGTCTACATACACCTATCCTTCCAAACCTCATTTTATGGGATTAAACTAGATATATTGTTGTTGTACAGATGGAAGCTACACCCATCATTAATTTTGATGAAGGTTAATTTTGATTATATCAACATCATTATATTTTTCTATTTTTTGTATCATAGTTTATTGAACTATTATAATGCATTCATTATAAATAGAGTATATTGTATGATGTATGATTTATGGTAATGTTTTTCTTATTAAATGATTCATTGTAATGTTAATTGTTTATTCAGTGTAATAAATAAATCATGCTAATATTCATTATCTGTTAATAATTATATATTATTCGTTGTATTTTTACTAAAAATATTTGGTGTATTTTAGTTTTTACTAAAAAAAAATCAGTGTGTGACGTGAGCGAATAGACAGTGTTGATGATGAAATTTAAGACAATACAATACATTTTGATTCTATTATCTTTTTTAAAAAAACAAGGA